ATAACTCAAGTCTTGTAATATGCTGAATTTACACTTTGTCTTGTAAATATGTACAAAGGAGAAGACTAGTTTTATTTATTTATTTTAATTTTATTTTTACTTGGTAGTTTGAAATTTATGTACAGTATGAACAGGCAGTGATGTTGAACAAAAAGTATAATTTTGTTAGGAAGTTGCTTTAATGTGTTGATTATTCAAAAAGGGTTATATCACCTTATGTTAATAATTGCTTAATTTGAGTATTTAATTTTTCTCTACTTGTTCAACTATATTTTTATTGTTGTTAATTGAAGAGCTCTCAATTAACTGTGCCTATTTAGTGTGTATATTGTTCGAGAGAGAGTACATATTTAGGTAGTTGTTGAACAACACCACTTCTAACGTAGTTGAGAGATCGATACAGTGGGTTTAAAGGCGGAATTAGAGATAACCAAGCCTTGGTGCGATCGTCGTGAGCGGTAAATTAGTGCCAGCTAGCGTAGTTCGAGAAAATACGTCTAGTAAATTGTAGTAGTTGCTCGAGAGAGAGCACTCACAATCAGTAAAGAATATTTAGGAGAATTTATAGGAAACGTAGCGGGGAAGATTCTGACAATAGGGGAAATCATAACCTTAGACTTTTCCAAATCTTATTTATAATACTTGCTTTGTTAGTTATAAATTACTTTATTTTTAATTACTTTGATCTTAGTTAGTAAACTCTCAGATTGTTATATAATATTTCTGAAGGTAGATTATTTGAATTCGTGCAAAACTATTAGTTGTAATTAGCACGTTATCTTCCCTGTGGGATTCGACTTCGCACTTGTAAACCAGATTATATTTGCAGCGACCGCTAGACCTCTTAGGAGGTATAGTTGGGCGTGATCAGAGACCCACTATCCCCCTATATTTTTATCCTATGTCTCGAGATGCTCTCTCAAATGATCTCCCATAAGGTCGATATTCTTAGTCGGGACCCCGTTAATATAAAAATAAGGGTCCTGCCATCTCTTCTTTGCCGACGACTAAACCATGATTACTAGAGCCAATGACAAAAGTTGTGCCTGCATCTTAGAATGCCTGAACTTTTTTTGTTCATTATCATGCCAAAAAATCAACTACAACAGGTCCAAAATTATTTTTTCTAACAATTGTCTCGTGGACAAGGCAAATTACTATGCCAACCTCATTGGCCTTAAAATAGCCAAGGAATTTGGAAAATAATTTGGCTTTCCTATGCTTCAAAAACACCCCAAACCAAAAGATTTCCAATTTGTTATTAATAACATACGGACAAAGCTTGCTAATTGGAAAGCTAATTTTCTCAATATCGCGGGGAGAACTACCTTAGCCCATTCTACCATTAATGACATCCCCAACTACATTATGCAATATACTTTGCTTCCCACGAAGATCCATAACCAAATAGACAAAATCCAACGGGACTTTATTTGGGGTCTACTAAAGATAAGAAAAAGCTTCATCTCATCAACTGGAAAACAATCACCACCCCTAAAAAATATGGTGGACTTGGACTAAGGACATCAAGAGATAAAAATTTGGCTCTATTAACAGGTCTCTCTTGGCGTTTAATCTCTCAAATTAACTATCCTTGGGCCAAAACACTGGCTTGCTCCTATGCCTCATGTAAAACCACAACCTCTACCTCTTTTGTATGGAAAAGTATTCTAAGGGTTGGTTTTTTTGTAATAAAGTCACTCTTTAGCTGCCAAAACATAACTCTGACTTTGATATTTGGAACTCTAGATGGATACCCTCTATGCCTTGCCTTAGAAATTATATAGAGGGACCCAGTGGCGGACCCAGGATTTTGTGCAAACTGGTTCAATCTTAGAAGTACATAATTTTAGTCGTAAAATAGTAGTTGTCAAGTGGGTTCAAATAAAATATTTATACAAAATTTACGCAGCTTTAATCCTAATTTATACATATACACAGTATTATTTTTTGACAAAGCAGGTTCAGTTTAACCCGCTTGCCATCATGTGCGTCCGCCACTGGAAGGACCCCTCAACTCGAGTGATCTCTCCGTCAAGATATTGCAATATGGGAAAATAGTGGTAGTGGTCGTTTCTCCACGAATTCTTGCTACACCTTCATCAACAATCTACACCATAGTGAAAATAACTTCAAATGGATTTGGAGAATCAGTTGCCCCAACAATATCAAATACTTGCTGTGGCAATGTTACCACAATAAACTTCCATGTAGATCTTATTTAGCTCGCATTGGTATCAACATTGACAAATGCTGCACATCATGTCACGAGGCGGAAGAGACTATAGAACACAGTTTCTTGAATTGTCCCCTCATTCTCAAATTTTGGCAAACTTTAGGTGTTCCCCATATACCCCACAACACAAACCTTCATTGGCTTCTCACCATCAAAAACCTGAACCATAGGTTACCCACTCTTCCCATAAAATGGGAAAACTTCTTTGCATTTGCCATCTGGGGCATCTGGATTAACAGAAACAACAACCTTCACGACAACAACACCCTTTATTTGAAGGCTAACACTGTTATAAATCATGCTTTAGAATTCAAATTCCTAGCCGAAAATGAACCTAACGATTGTGATACTTTGGCATAAACCACCCAGAAATTGGTACAAACTCAATATAGATGGTGCCTTCAAAAAGGGATCAGTCGCTATAGGGGGAGTCTTCAGAAACTTCTCGCCCTTCAAGCAGGTGTCAAACTTGCTACAGACAACGGCTACTACCCAATTGAAGTTGAAACTGATTCCACTAAGGTAATACAAACCTTATCAACAAATCATGAAACTTTTAACGATGTTATACATTCTTGCAGGTTGTTAATGCCCCAAAAGGAGGAGGAGATGGTGATCAGGCATAATTTTCGCCAAGGAAATATGGTGGCTCACATGCTAGCCAAGGAAGCCTAGTCCAATATCAGAAAAATGTCAATTTTTGCTACTCCACCACCTTTGGTTATGGAGCAAGTATCTTTAGATAAACTAGGATGTTCTCCTTTTGTTAAACCTCTCTCAGAAGGTGCCTGTAAGTTGCTAGCAATCTATGGGAACTTATGTGTCCATCATGAGGCACAAATGGTCTATAATATTATGAACAATATTTAGTATTAATGCAAGTATCTACCTTCTCAAAAAAAAAAGAATATAAACAAGGACTTAATCAACTGAAACCTAGCATACATCTCAACCACAATTAAAGCTAATCACGAGTAAGCTAGCTCTATAAAAAATTTAGTATAAATCATAAGTTAATGTAGTTATTCAGACACACCTCTAAGACTCTAAGAATTCAACGGAGTTTTTTATATATAGAAAAATATAGTTCAAGGGAGTTTTGGGAACACCAGATAATTTGGGGGATTTTAGGCCGAGTTAGATAGCCACGTGTAGTGCCACATAGCATGTTTTTAGTTAATTAGGAGCGTATACCAGACGCACCTCTAAGAATCCAATCGAGGGGTTTTAATATGAAGGAGAATATAGTTCAGGAGGACTTTGGGGACACCATAGAGTTTAAATAGGTAACTCACAAAAAGTTGATAGTTAAAGGGGTTTTTAGGATATCTAACTCTTTTTTTTCATAGCCATTTGTTAGGCGCTTTTCGCTTATGAAAAGTCAATTTAATCAATTTTAAAGCTAAATTGGACTATATTAAATCACGTTTTTAAAGTTAAGTTTCAGATATCCAAAAATTACCCCAAAAGCAATATATGTCGGACAATCAGAAATTACGCCAAACTGCTATAAGTTGCAGCTTTGAAAACTACTCAAACTTTTCTTGAGGCTAAGTTGAAAATTAGTTGACTTTAGAATCATATGGGAAAAAAAACTTTTTAACCTTTTCAGACAACCGGAAATCTCAGTCTGTCATGCCAGAAAATTCAGATGCAATAGACCAAACAGGCACATAAAACATGTAGTTTACATAGAATTCTTCCACAGTGGTAGCTACTTTACAACATAAAGTGGTAGCTTAATGGATCGTTTTTACGATATCTTTCCTGATGCTAGATTATACAGGAATATTTAGATCCCATACCACAAACTAAAATCTACAGTTCCATGAGTTAAGCTTAAGAAATTATACATCTTTGCATCATATTCTGATGCAGGACAGAAACCCTCCTTGTTGCCAGGAATCTATGCGTAAAATGGAACCTCCCTCCCAACATGAACAGATCAAACACCTTCATTTGAAACTTACACTCACCTCCAGGTGCAGGGATCAAGTTTAACAGCTCACAACAGGATGGAAGGATATGAGTTATTTATCAGTCCCTCGAGAACAATGCCTTCACTACATACAAATCTGTAACCCTTTCATTTGAAAACTCTTGGGAGTTTCCTCGTTAAGTGGCAACTCTCTGCATCAAAGGGCATAAATCCTGTCAATATCTGAATTAGAGAACTCAGAGTGGTACCATGAGTTGGAACCACTTCTTGCATGCTTTTCCTTCTTCCTTATCGATCTTTTCTTCCTTGATCTTACCACATAGTAAGTCATAGTTCCAAGAACACCGGCCATTATTACTCCCCCTACTACTGTTACCAAAATTGCAGCCCACTCAAACTTGCGACCGACCACTATATAAGAGGATGCCATAAATGCCACTGAAGTGCAGACAGAAGCCAACCACATCAGTTTGTTAATTACCTCTACAACTCTTCTTTCTGCCTTTGTTTCTCCTCTAACCAATGTAATCTGAACTACGACAACAGCAAGAGATGTAAAAAGTGCAAGGGCATTGAAGATGAAGAAGATTTTAAAAGAAGCAGTGGTCACAACCACAGCCACTCCATTATTATCATCGCCTCCAGGTACAGTAAAAATAGCAGCAAAGGCAACTGTGGCAAAGAGAACAGCAACGACAGTCACAGAATTCGTTGCATTATTGATCCCTTCTCGATGGAGCTTTCTAAGCTCTTTAGCAATTCCATGGACATTTTTATTGGTCCTCTTAGTTTGTTCAAGCTGTGTGTGAATATCTTTCTTGATTTGGCTAACAGTTTTCCTCAACTCATCCCTTGGTTGGTTCAATTCGTTAGCTCTAACAGCTCCATATTTGTATAAACACTCCTTTATTTCTGCGGATTCCTCAGAGAGTGGAAGATCTTCGGCTATGTCAAGAGCTGTTTTGTGATCTCTGTTCAGTGCGTTAACATTACTATCAGGTAGGCGTAGCAACTCCCTCACTATCTGCAAGGCAAATGTCCTAAAATTATGATCACTCACAATATCATTTATGAATTTCAGGTGATATAGGCCTAGTAAGTTCCAACAGTCGGAGGTTAGAAGCAAGAAGGGAAGTGCTTCAGGTAGCTCAAAAGAATATTTGCAGAAGAACCAAAAGAATGGATACCATGCATTATTTATTTTCAAGGTGAAAAAATGTCGCCAAAGACCATGATTTTTGAAACAATTGAATCTATAGTGATCCAAAGTTTGCATCATCTCAGAGACGAGCACCAACAAAGTTGAAGAAAAGAAAACTATAAAGGTATTTTAGGTAGTAGCGGCTTGCAAGACCATTCAAAAATCAGGTTCATAGAATTGGCTGGTAGTTGTAGAAGTCAAATCATTTCTCTGAGACCATAAAGGGAAAATGTCATCATAGACGCATTCAGCTAGTACTAAATTATTAAATGCTACTATAGTGAAGGTTCAACTTCTAATACCCAATATGGACGAGCAAAGCTAATATGATTTACGTAGCCAATCAGGAAAAAATAAACACCAGTTTTAACAATAATTTTCTTCTCATTAGTTATACACAATAGTAATTTTGTGCCATGCTTTGCAGCACACCATGCATTACAAACGAATAACAGTAGATAATTTGTAATTTTGTATTTGCTGGGGTGGGATGGGGGGAAGTATTACACAGAAACGTCATGTTTGAGTGACAGATTGCATACCTCTGCACGCTTTTTTCGGGTGGCTATGTGTAGTGCTGTATTGCCAAACTTGTCTGGCAGCATAACTATAGCAGCATCAGCCTCGAGAAGTAATATCACCACCTCACAGCTAATCCCCTTTACGGCCATATGCAATGCCGTTTGCCCTTTCTTGTCCGTCCTCCTTGCTAATTGTGGATCTCTGTCAAGCAAGGCCTTGACAATTTCCACATGCCCTTGTCTGGCAGCTAAATGCAATGCATTTTTACCATTGGACCTAGAAATTTCCAGTAAGCTGCAATCCTTTGACAGCAGTTCATTGACCACTGAAATATGTCCTCTTGAGGCAGCAGTTATAAGAGGGGTTGCATTTGAAGGTCCAAATGTTTTACTCAGTCCAGGATCATGCTCTAACAGCAATTGGACGATTGCTGTTATAAGAGAGCAAGCATCAGTCTTTGTCCAATAACTATTATCTTATGGCATCTTGAAACTTATGCATCTTCAACATTTACTGAACTATAGAATTTTTTTTAGAATGTTTACTGCATAATCTTCACACACATTTTTGGCATACAAAGGTTGCAGTAGGTATAATTCCATAAAAGTTCAAACCTTCAATTACAACCAGCATCTGCCACTGATGAAATGATACTCAAAAACAAAATGGCTTCAATTTTATACTCTCTTTGACAAGTAAGGGATAGCATAATGGAAAGAGAACTCCACATCCAACCATGAGGCATGAGGTTCGAGTCCAAGCTCAAGACTTCAAGTCAGAATTTAGTTAAAAATTTAGTTTAGTAAGGTATCTAACCCATTTATCACCTATTTTCTGATTCTTTAGTCTTAATGAGATTTACTACTCCATTTGTCAAGTTAGTCTAAACCATTGGAATTACATAATGTTAATATTTTTTCAGACAAGACATATAACTCGCCCTCGGTTAGAAACTTTTTCAATCTTTCAACGTCTTCTGGTTAAACTCTATACTTCATCTCTCCAAATCAGATACTTAACAAGCCGAGTTTAAGCTAAAACCCCATCACCAGAAAATAAAGAAAAGATGAACTAAAAAGGAACAAACAAATCGAATGATCAAGAAATCGAAGATCTTTACCATGGTGTCCTTGACTTGCAGCTATATGCAAAGGATCAAATCCTGACCGATTCTTCTTAGTAAGAGTTTCCTTGTTACAGTACTTCAATAATTCTTTAACCACATCAAGATATCCCTTTGCTGCTGCTGTAAACAGCGCTGTCTCTCCTAATTCATTCACTTCATTCACTACAGATGCTCTGATCTCTGCAACCTCTTGATTAAAGTCATCACCACTCAGCGTCCCCACCATTTGGGTATCAATATCATTAAGTATCTGCTTCACTGCTGCTAGATCACCTTTCTGAGCTGCTAAATGAAGCTCAGTATCATTGTGCCTTCCCGTCACCTGTTTTACATATTTCTTTTTCCCTGCTTGGTCAATTCTCTTGCCGGAATTGGAAAGCACCAGAGCTGGTGCTGTTGCTGAAGATGGAGATGGGGCCGGTGATGGCTCAGCTAGAGGGTTCTGGCTGAGTGTTGGAGTAATCAACCCTTTCTCGATGTCTCTCTCACCTAGTACAAGCGCATACAAAAACATCAGCAAAAACGAGTAGCTACTCAGTATTAGATAATCAAGAATCAGGTGTGAGACCACTTATAAATAAACAAGCAACTCCATCATAAAGTCTTCAGAACTGAAAACCATCAAGTATCAAAGCATAAGGAGGACTATTTAAAAATTGTTCTCATATGTCGGACAAACTTCAGTTTTCCTAAAGCTGACCCAAAGTAGTTTCAAATTTCTTTACAATTGATTGACTAATTGTCATCTAAATAATCCGCATATTTCCACAAAACTGACAAAATTATAGGCTCCTGAGTTGAGTTATAGGCTTATAGTATGTTAGGATAGATAGCTGTAAAAAGGCTGTAGCTTATGTATATTGAATTGTACAGTAAAGGTGGACAAGTTAAGGGTTCTATATATAAGCAAGGTACAACTCAATAAACACAAGGTACAACACTTTACTCTAACATAACTAGATTTAAGTTTTTCATCTCAATCTTTTCATTTTTATGTTAATGTAAACCTAGCCAACTGAAATTACTTAGTATACATCTCCACCTTGGGTGTGTGTGTGTGTGTGGTGTGTGT